AAGCACTACAATCACTTTCATCATCAGTCACGGTCACCTAGATTGTTAGTGGTCCCCATCAAACCCTTATACTACAAAAGAACTTGGCTTTTTGAGTGCGTGAGTGAAATGAAATTCATACATCATATTCATATGGGGAATTGAACCCAGGCCATAACTTTAACAATCCACAAACAATCTTCCATTTCTGAGTAGTATAGATTTCCTGACTTTTCTTTTTCGAACTGGCTCATCATTTTCACAGGAAAGGTCCAATGAAAATTGTACATCAAATCAAGCTGAAGATCTATAGTATTACTGCATATCGTGATCTGAGGTGATTTCTCTCCTCCAGTTTAGATGTTACAGTTCATTACCATGAATTTCTCCCTATTGCTTAACTCCTTAGGCAAACATAACATGTTATATTTGGGATTACACTTTCTCAGTAAACTACAGATTCTAGTAGTTCTGTTGGGTTGATTCTCAATTGCATCTAACCCACACAACCACTGTGGCTTCCCCAAAATGGAATTCGGACAACTGGTAGTTTAGATCACGGACTTTGTGTAACCCTCTGTCAAGTGTAAATTGGCACGGCTCCCACGGTCGAAAGCTATGAATACACAATGCCATTAAGAAATGGTCAAATATATTTTGTCTGTTGTAACTGATGGGCACTGTCAAGTTCATTTCCATTGGTTGTTGGAGTTATTCTCCCCTGTGTGATACACGTGGATACATTGCTTTGTCATGACAGATGGGCTCTGGCTGTGTCCTACACACATATCTCGGTAAAGTGTCCTTAAGCAAACACCTTTCCTGACAAATTATATCAACAGCAGCATTGGATGTTCATAACAGGATTGTGAGAAATAGAGAATATATTCAATTCTTCCATTTCCTGAAGAGCTCCTTTAACAGAATTATTTTAAAGTATTCAGAGGATGATCACCACAATGCCCCAAACAACCCCAAATTACAAAAATATCATGCATGTTCTCTTATACAGATACACATTCAAAGAACTAAATACATTTTTGTCAAAGTGACATGTGTTTCTTTCGCACTGCTAAGTATTCTATACATTCTCTTGACACTATACTTAACAAGTCTGAGGTAAAGAGAATTATTTTCAATCTGAGGTAACATTCAACATAGCCACTGATTTCAAAAACACTGAAACCAGACTATCCCATGAAGGCTATTGCAATTAACATGATCACAGTCAAGCTTTCTACAGCTGGATTTTAACTAAAATTACCTATGATAAACAGCTAAGTGAAACCATGCTAGGTTCATGAGTCAAGATATGCAAATATTTTATATTGATATACATCACTTCCATACATTTACTTACAAGGTTGAACCGAGTACAAATGAATGTTTGCCTTCTTGATCTTGAGTGAGTGAGTGAGTGAGTGAGTGAGTGAGTCAGTTTTATGCCGCTTTTAGCAGTATTCCAGCAATATCACGGCGGGGCACACCAGAAATAGGCTTCACACATTGTACCCATGTGGGGAATCGAACCCGGGTCTTCAGCGTGACGAGCGAACGCTTTAACCACTAGGCTACCCCTCTTGATCCTGAAGATTACAAGTCCTGTATTCATAATCACGACAACATCCATATGTAACAATGTGCACTATGACCTACCTATCACAAAATGATAATAATAAGCTCCCTCGATTCATTATTCCCTTTTCAGAACAAAATGAACTTTCAAAATTAAACAGTTATGAGGACTTGCGTAAGAATAGCCATGCAATTAAACGTTAGGGCTGCAACGATATGGTTCGATTCATCGAAAATCGAATCTGACAATTCATTATCACTATTTCGATTCGATATTTGAGTGCTGTTCTGTGTTTAAACATCATATTTTATTTGTTTGAAAAGGGTTACATCACTTACATTCCTGATTTCCTAGTCAAATCTTGGAAAAAGTTTTCAGTGTGGTATGTTTTGCTTAATAAACTCTGAGAGTTAAATGAAATCTGATGTTTTTACTTGTATGAATAATCGAATCAAGGGTCCAATATCAAAAATCGAATAAAATTGAGGTCTGGGTGAATCATTGAAGCCCTATTAAACATTATTTGAGAACAATCATTATTTTTGTGATGTGTTAATTGTTAAATTTGCTATATGTACCTTGAAACAAGTGGAGAGCCGAAGTCAGACCACATTGCTAATGAGTATTCTGCTCGACCAGTAAACTATATTTATCTTTTATAATACATTAAAGGATTTCAAGGTATGTTTTCATTGTGTCAACTGTTTTTCACATGAATGTCAAAGGCAGTTCCACCATGGTAACATCTGCATGTACACAAAGCATTTCGTAATGGTGAATTTACTTAAAATCCAACAATAATACGACTTGACATTTCACATTACTTTCCAGCAATTACTGCAAACACACAGAACATACAATCCCTTCCTGAACAGGTAAATCAGCATTAAATTCATGGACTTCAGAATTAACCTTAGCATACAACTCACTGACAAAACTGGCGTTGTGGAGTGTTGCCAAGAGTTACCAGTATAGTAGCACTTTTTTTGCCCACAGGCAAAGATCATTGAGAACAGAAACATGCCCAAATAGCCTGCACTCAACTACACTTGACAAATGGTCCACATGAAGACTAGCTGCAGAGTATGACACTCTCAGATTCACAAACCGCTGTAATAATGTGCATCAATGGAAAGAGAAAAATGGCAAGCGTCAATTCGATTTTTGTCCAGTAAACATATATATTCCTGGTTGGGTGAACAATCACTTATGGCTAATTGAAACTTTAGACCTGGTCGGGTAAATATTTACTTCTGGAAACAATTAGCCTTGGTCGGTTCAACATTTAATCGTTGTTGGGTAAATAAATAATAATGAAGATTTATGATAACCAAATGATTCACAGAGACTCCCCTACATGTCAGTATGGAGTATGGTTTTATGCCGCTTCATTGCAAGGGAATCCAGAAATGGGTTCGACACATTGTACCCATTCAGAGAATCAATCCTGGGCCTCCTGTATGACGAACAAATACTTGAGCCACTCAGTTACTTCATTGAGCTAAGCCGAATTACAAGACAGAAAATAATAATAATATAGTGCAATAACAGACTCCACAAGGAGTGATACAGATAACTCACTGTACACATTGAGACTCTTCACCGATGATTATTACAGCAGTTTGTGTGATGTCATATACAATAAAATGTCGTAAGAAGACCCCCATCCACTTTCACATTACCAAGTCACCCTTCTAAACTCTAGCAATGAGTTACCAATCTGTACAAACCACAGAACATGTCTTGCAAATTCACAAAGCAATGTCATATGTATTTATATTTCTACATAGATTTCATTGCAGAAATCCATCCCAATATGATAACAGCACAAGATGCCATCTACAGAGTGTGAAAATTACCCAACACTTACAATGTACAATGAAAATAAATAGACAATATTACACATATTTTCAACAGGGCGATATATAGGGCAAGAGCCTTCATAAGGCTTACCCAAATGGGATGGGAGGCAGAAATTGTTCTTACAAAAACAAGGGAGATAATCTTGGATTTTCCAAGGTATAACTGCCTGCATTTCTCAACACTTTCACAAATCCTAAAACCACAGCACGAAGACAGTATCTTCACATGAATGATTTCGGCTTTTTGCTATATGGACACATATCCATTTCTTACAAGAAAAACTCTTCAAATAATTCATGGAGCATTCCCTGAAAGGTAATCTATGGACTTCAAAAAGGAACTATTCACCTACAGACGTACAGGCTGGTTCCCAAGAAAGATGAACGAAATCTAATTATAACATTGCACATTTCCTCCTTATTTACAGGGGTGGAAATAACCCATTGCCCGACGTCCCAGGCCAGTGTTTTTGTCTGTCGGGCAAGCAAATTTGTATTTCACACTGTACCGGTGTCCAGTTGACTTTCCAATGTTAATTATGTTGTTTATTTAAAAAATCAGCAAGAAAACGGTCGGTATAGTGGAAAAATTATCAGGGCAAGTGACTTTACATGTGCCACTGTACCGGAGTACACTATCAATTTTAAAGTTATTTCCACCCCTGATTTATTTTCTTAATAAGTAGTTTCTCATTCTAATTCTTATAAATATTGTCAAAATGGCTTATTTGACTTACATAGAGCTCAGAGGTTCTGCCAAAATTAAAAGTAACTGTTAAACAAGAGATCTATATTATAGGATATTTATATAGCGCACATATCCACGCACTAGTGCATGCTCAAGGCGCCATTATTGATGATGATCATTAAAGAACCCTATACCCAATTTGGTTACAAGAAGTAAAAGTACAAATAGATTGCACTGGATGAACGAAACTGACAATTACTCAAGTCCATAGATTACAAGTTTTGTGAGATTACATAAGGGAGATAACTCTTATTTTTTCCAAACATGACTGTCTCAAGAAAGAATGTCCATGGCAAGATCAGTTCAAGAGTTCACTTGTCTGTGCATAACTGTAATGTAAGGGATAGTGTCATCGGCCTATACATCTGAGTATGTCTTTTCCTGAAACTTCATGAGATATATGAAAATGGCAAACTGATTCATCCACAAGTATCATTATTTCTCAACATGCCTTTTTGATTGACAAACTGCATCAGCTGAGAGATGCAGGCATTAAGTTAAATCTGAACCAATGGACAGTACAGGTTACATGGATAATGTTAGAACGTCAGCATCTACCATTGTAAAACATTCACTTGCTGTGAAGAGTATGAAAAATGATTGCAAAAGGGTATATATATACATGTCATGCCACTCTATGAAAAGGTCTCCAGCTGATCAAAACAGATTTCTCTCTTGTACCTATCTTAACTCCTCAAAACTGTATTCAAATTGCAGAAAAATACTCATCAGACACAGTATGCAACAATAACATTTGTTCCTGCAAGTCATTAAACATTGTTATCTGTTCAGCATTATCTTACACTTTTCTCACATCCAAAATAATACTGTCAGATGTTATCTGTTCAGCATGGTCTCTCACTTTTATCACATCCAAAATGATACCGTTGGATGTTATCTGTTCAGCATGGTCTCTTACGTTATCTGTTCAGCATGGTCTCTTACTTTTATCACATCCAAAATGATACCGTTGGATGTTATCTGTTCAGCATGGTCTCTTACGTTATCTGTTCAGCATTGTCTCTTACTTTTATCACATCCAAAATGATACCATCGGATGTTATCTGTTCAGCATGGTCTCTTACTTTTATCACATCCAAAATGATACTGTCAGATGTTATCTGTTCGGCATGGTCTCTTAGTTTTCTAACATCCAAAATGATACCATCGGATTTTATCTGTTTAGCATGGTCTCCAAAATTCTCTCACATCCAAAATGATACTGTCAGACAAAGAGGGGATGAGAAATGAATGAAACTGTGGATAATATGAACAATTTGAAATGAAAGTGAGACTGAATGATAATGGACATGAGAACATGTCTGCCATCCAAACCCTATGACTGTTTGACTCGTTTGCGAGGTGGCCCCAGAGGTGGGCTCTGCTGACTTGCCAGAGCACGGAAAGCTTCAGCAATTAAGTGTGGGTGGGTTGAGATCATGGCTTTCCATCCTTGAGTTTCCATCACATCAGTTGCATGGCTGAAGAGAAATAATACATTCAAGTATGAATCATGGGAAAATGACACAATAATTTCTCAAATGCATGTATCATAAACATACATATGGAAAATGAGTGAGTTAGCGAGTTTGTTTTACACCACTTTTAGCAATATTCCAGCAATATCATGGCTGGGAACACCAGAAATTGGCTCCATACAATGTACCCATGTCGAGAAATGAACCCGGGTCTTTGGTGAGCAAACGTTGGAACTAATACTAGGCTACCCCACCGCCCCTATGGAAATTGAAACATAACAGGAACGATCATAAAGAACATAATGTATGAAAACAATCGCATGTTATATAGTCACTGACTGCTCTCTTCTTGTCAGAGAGTCACGCTGACGAACCCACAATTCAATTCCCTACATGGGTACAATGTGTGAAGCCCATTTCTGGTGTACCCTGCCTTGATATTGCTAAAAGCGGCATAAATATCCTTCTTGTGTCTTTCAATACCCAATGATGCTGGGCTCAATTTAAAAGATGTTAACCTATTTGGACCATATGCAACCTAAGATAGAAACCTAGTTGTATCAGCCAAATTCCAATTGCACTGCTTTTATTGCAATATGTAATGAAAGAAATATGCTATTGAATTATTTAGATGTTTTCAATCTCACCATAATGCAACTAATCCCTGGATTTTTTTTCCATTCCTCATTAAATTTGTATGTCTTAATTTGTTTAGCATTGCGTGTGGCTGGATTTACGTTTCAATTCATCTTCTGTACTTATATCACCCAGCCTCGAAATGCCACACGCATTGGCAATGTCAATGGAATCACTCGTGTTCATATTGGCATGTTTCTCAGTTTCATTTACCACTTTTGTCAGCTACATCTTTAGGAAAAATGCTTTAATATTGCTTGTTGTTTACTTTTGCTGGTTGCATGGTTATTTTCATTCACAGTTTGAATAATTAAAGTTGAGAGGAGGGTTAGCGTTTCACATAGCCATGTGCAATATATCTGTCAGCTATCACTTAAAATGATGATGTAGTGTGTTAAAACATCAGAGATTTCAGTGCACATAAACATTTTTTTGTGACATAGTACCCATGAAACCATAGCAACACAGCAACACAGCCACATAGCTGATCCCTGTTTACAATAGCTGTCATAGCCGAGAGGTGTCCCAAAATATCAATGTTTCAGTGCCATGGCTATTCCTAAAAAAAGGAGCTGACATAATTATGCTTATGATGTTAGATTTATCAATTTATTTCTCAAAAATTGACTTGAAGAATCTGGTGCAACTTAGACTGATAACTAGGTTCCACTTGTAATATTGGGTTGCACCAGTGCAAGTATTGCAGTTATCAAAGCAGTAAATCGAGCCCTGTGATGTCATATTTCAATATATGTAATCTGTGTGTACAACACAAAATACTGACATGCAACCCTCCAGGAACTTGGTGTAACAACAGAGTAGCAAAACTATGCCATTAAACAATGACGTGGAAGCATTAACAAAGGGAGATAATTCATCAGCCATACACAATATCCCACTAGAAAATACAACTTTCTACTTTGAAGGTTGATGAGTAACCAATATGTTTAGAAAAAGCTACAAAAAGACCATAAAACCCTGTGACCTGGTATTAAATTTTTTCATATTCAAAATATAAATATTCAATGAATATATATATTACTACTCAACATATGATAGGGATTGAGATGTCATTGATACTGTGATGCATGAGACATCTTAACTTTATTTAATAACTGACTGTGGAAAGAAACTACACTCACTTCATTTCCATTGCAAATTCTAATATATTTCAAATGACAACTTATCAGAACAAGAAGTGACATTCACACTCCATCTGAATACTCCCTATTCCAATAAGAAGTTCAGTAGTATACTGGTATATTAAAAAGAAGAACGAAGCATTCTTGACAATTTAGCAAATACCAGGAGAAAGAGGGTATTGGTTGTCTTGTGAAGATGTCTCTTATGAACAGTCCATGATGGTTCAAAATATAATTGCAGAGAAAATGCTGATAATGAAAATGGACTTACCTATTTACAAAATCTATTGCATGTGTCTTGAGCTGGTCTGCACTATGCAGATCAGCTAACACCAGAATCTCACAGACATTTTCTATTGTTAAGTTTGAACACAGGGCCTCTTCACACATCACTTTTAACCTCTCTAGAGCATACTGAAAATAAAACATACAAGATTATCATACCGTGATATATCAGAGTAATATCCTTAAATAATTTATGCATACAACAACCTTTGTATTTGCACAGGTATTTGCTGACATACCTGGAAACATAATCAAAGGAACTGGGATTCTCATGACCATAGTTTCTGATTTGCCAGGGAAGCAACTGTGCAAAAGCACCTTAGATGACTGGGCCACCCAGGCCACCCAGGCCCCCATTTGTACAAAGACTTTAACTCTTTCAACACCAGTCAACCAGAGGCATTTACTGAGGTCATAGATGAAGCCTATGTTTATGAAGGAAATTATAAGCTTGTAAAACGTTATTGCTACTACATCCCATACACCATTTAAAAGATCTAATCCTACTGTTGATAAATATGAAGTTTATTTTAATAATATTATTCAAATAATACAACTACAACTTAAATAAATTTATATTTGAATGAAAATGCAAGCTTACATTTATAACGTCCAGATAAACCACGAAAGAAGCAAAAACTATGGCGATTTTTTCCATTTGTGACATCTCATAACATGCCTGTGCCTTTTTCTTTTATATTTTCATTTTTACGTAATTAGAAAATTATTATAAAAAGATTTCTTAAACAATATGTATGGTCGCCTATTTCCCGATATCTGTGGCTTTCGGCTCGGTAAAATGACTGAAAATACCGCCGTTTTGGAAGCTTCGTATGAATAACATGCGCGGCAAATCGTTTGATGTCGGGCATCGTTCGAAAGCTCTGAACATCAACAATATCACTGTACCCTTGCCAAGAGTATTTTCACAGTTGTAAGAAGCGATTTTATTGGATAAATATTGGTTTCCAATGACGCTTTTTCGCCACAGTCTGCTATAAGGATCGTGATTGGTCAAAATCAGACACTTGACCTAAGGTAGCCAATCATATTACGGCAATGGATACCGTCCTCATAAACGAAAACTTTTAGATTTGGACAAAAGTTTTGGGTGAAATAATGCTATTCTGAACATATTAAGCAAGAAATCGCTACCTATACGTAAATTATGGAACTTATTGGACGTATCGTGCTAGGTTATGACCTGTGACAAAAATGCTTCATGTATGTATTTTCGCATTAAACATGGTGTCCGAGTGTGAAGATTGAGGCGGCGAGAGCCGAGATGTCACTTGTCAGTGACTTGACTTGCATTACATGATCGCACAAAAAGATGGAAATAGTAATTTTATATGTACGTTTGACAACTTTTATGAATGCTGTTGTTGATTTTATTCATTAGTTTATTCAATTTATTTAATAATTTCCTCGAAACATCGTTACTTTGCTCTCTGACAATGTTATTGTGGGTCCGCTGCCGAAGCATGTGTCCGAGAATCGTCGTTTTCAATAACATTGCAAAAAATAGTTTATAATTTTAATTCTGCTGGTAATATATGATAAATTGAAATTTAATAAGTGTTTTCAGACATTGTGAAATGTGATAGATTTGATATATGAATCAAAAGTCAGGTAGGTTCCTAAAATTATGTCTCATTTTGACGTGACTACTGCCTGGCCGATTAATCGGCCTCCGGTGTCTGGGGACTCATAACGTCGTGGCCGATTATTCGGCCTGCGGTGTTGAATGGGTTAAGCAGCGTTTGAAACTAAGGTGGCTAACTTTCACATATTCCACTTCAGATATGTCAATTATCATGGTAGTCTTTAAGTACAGAGAGTTAGATTTGACATGGTTTCCAGCACAATCTATGATTCAGTTACATCACAATTTTACAGTGTGAAAGCTTCTTGTGGGAAGTGAGCAGAACAGGAAGCAGTTTCTGAGTGAGTGAGTGAGTGAGTGAGTTATTTTAGTTTTACGCCACACTAAGCAATATTCCAGCTATATGGCGGCGGTCTGTAAATATTCGAGTATGGACCAGACATTCCAGTGGTCAACAGCATGAGCATCAATCTGCGCAATTGGGAACCAATGACATGTGTCAACCAAGTCAGCGAGCCTGACCACCCGATCCTGTTAATCGCCTCTTGCGACAAGCATGTGTTACTGAAGGCCAATATTCTAACCTGCACCTTCAAAGGTCAGCAGTTAGAGAACCCACAAGAACGGAAATAATGACAAACCAAGGATCAAAATCAATGACAATCCGGATAATTCTTAGATTTTAATCAATTTCATAGAATTTTACTGGCACATCTAAGAGACATATTGAACTGGGACATGTTGGCAACCATTCAGATTTAACCACACTACCTTGTCAGCTGCTGCTAGAAGATCATCTGCCATTTTGTCCAGATTCGGAGCTTTGCCTGTGTAAATAAATCTCAGCATCTCCCTCATCACTTCATGGTCCACATCAGTTATGTCTACCCGGTTCTGAAAACACAATGGGTGAGTGAGCGAGAGTGGTTTACGCAGCATTTAGCAAAATTCCAGCAATATCATGGTAGGGGGTCACCAGAAATGGCTTCACATATTGTGTCCATCTGGGGAATCGAACACAGGTCTTCAACATGACAAGGGGACGCTTTAACCATTAGACTACCCCACAGCCCCGAAAACACAATGTACTTGTATGAGATGACTGCATAAGTTACAGAAGCTGCTGGGATTCATTGCAAATGAAGATATGGATAGTGTGGAAATATTTTGACTCGATTGGCAACCGGTCATTGCCTGTAATTAGTTGATATTTTTCTCATTCATGCTCTTCTCTTTCTCTCAGTGTATCATGTTTGTTTGTGGTTCTTAAGTATTCATGTGCTAGCACTGGGTTTTGCAGTTTGTTTAATGGATATTCTTATAATTGCAGATATTATCTATACATTGACAATAAAAAGATAGCAATTGATACAAATGTCTGTCTCAATTTTTTTCTTCATTTAAAAAGCCTTTACTTTACAGTTGGTAGAATCTCAATTCATTAATCCAGTTTTTTTGGAATAGTACTGTTGATATGTAACTTTAAAAAAATGGAAACATATAACAAACAGAATATTTCATGTACCTAGTAAAACATGGTAAATCTGTCATCGAGTGACATAAAAATATCACATATTTCACTGGACACATGAAACATCATCTATATCAAACAGCTTTACACAAGGAAATATTATGCTAATGAAATTTTCTTGTACAAAGGCTACCTGTACAGTTTCTAATGATGATAAATAGACAGGGATGCAGTTGGGACCCACAGTATCTACTTCCTTGTTTTATCACCACAGTTATCAAGTTTCTACAGGATGAGATTCAACAACTGCTTTTGTCTGAGTAAAGTCAAATACTAGATTGTGTAAACAAAATACCATGAGGATTTTTACCTCCAGGAGAGTTCCCCGACTCATTTGGAATTCTGAACAATTCATATTTGAATCAGGTTAGTTTGGCACTATATACAAACATGGATGCAGGTGAACAAGATCTAGATGTATAAATCGCAGACCCAGCAAGTTGGAGGAAAGCCAGAATGATGCAGGTCTCAACACGTTTACCACTTTGTTCAAACCTACATGGACTTGTTTGGTGCTCAGACACCTTGAAACAATTTAGGCGAATTGGGATTTGAACACACAATCACACGTTTCTGGTGTGATCAAGGGACACAACTCTGCACAGAGAACTGCGGAGCCTTATATAACTGTGCCATCTGTCCCCCGAATTTGGTAGAAGCAATATCTGTTAGCAATGATTGCAATGTCGGAACCTTGACTAGACGGCACAAGAATGCAGAACAGAACAATATTCAGAGATGCTGCATGGTCAGTAGCTGCGTTCTGATGCTCTGCATTTTGGATATTTGCAAGACCATTACCAAATTTTAATTGCCTAACAAAGCGATAACACATCAACCAACACAATATCATTGTAATTGTATCTAGGTAATCTTGGAGAAGTCAAATGTACTTATGACTATCAACACAAACAAAATGGAAAAAACTAAGGTTCATAACTACCTGTTTTCTCTCTTCCATTTCATGCTCGAACATTGCACTAAATACTGGTGACCTCGCTGCAAGAGACAAATCATATATAACAAGAAGTTAACATAAATAGCACAATCAATGAACAAATCCTGACATATTACATGTTACAACATTTATAAACACAACAGACAAGAGAAACCAGTGGGTGCGGTGAAGTAGGTGAAGTAGGTGAAATTTGGTTTAACATTGTGTTCACGATTATTTCACTTACACAGCCACATCCACTTGTGCATGCATATGTGTGATTGTGTGTGCATGGTATTAGTCCAGACTAATACCAGTGTTATAAAACTACCTGATACACCATTCCTCCCTAATACCCTACTATTACACAGTTTATGGTATACTGACTGGGAGCCAACCAGTCCTGGTTTTCTTCCCATAATGCAAGGAGTGAGTGTGGTTTTACGCTGCCTTTAGCAATATTCGAGCAAAATATCACAGCGGGGGACACCAAAAATGGTCTTCACACATTGTACCAATGTGGGGAATCGAACCCGGGCCTTCAGCGTGACGAGTGAACGCGTTGACAACTATGCTATCCCACTGCCCCATAATGCCAGGAATGGTAACATTCATGATTGACGTAACAGCTGCTTGTATAAGTCCAATGGACACCCACAAATACCACTGTGATACTATGCGGGTGTTTAACATAGTTACCCTACTCTAACAAAGTAGGACAGGGCAGTCTTTGTTTTATCCCCTTAATGTCGAATCCCAGGCAGGGAAACAAGTCTTTTAACATGTTTTGGGATGACAAAGCTGGGAATAAAGCCACATGCCTTCTGTTCTGCAGGCAGATGTTGTATCCGCCCAACCACAGAGGAAGTTTAACAACGGTTGAGTGAGTAAATATTGCCTTACGCCGCTTTTAGCAATATTCCAGCAATATCACAGCAGGGGAAACCTGAAATGGGCTTCACATATTGTGCCCATGTGGGGAAATCGAACCCAAATCTTCAGCATGACGAGCTAACGCTTTAACCACTAGGCTACCCAACCACCCTTCTAACAAAGAAACATATATTTGGAACAAAGAGCTAAATACATGATGTCTTTAAAGGTGAATGAGTGATTGTTGTAAGCCATAGTCAATAATATTTCAGCTACTCTGCAGCCTACATTGAAACCAGTGGTAGATAGTAGGAGCACAAATCTACAGCACACACATCGTAATAATCAAGTCATGAGTTGGCCACAGCGGGGACTACCAGGGACCTATTCTTTCCAAACATCACTTCAAATATATACTTACAATCTTACACCCCCTTCGACACAAAAATCACCCAGGCAACACATTTAACCATCCAGTCATCATTAATTGGCCCTCACAGGGAATAGTGTAGTCTGTCTCACAGTCCCTGAACCACATTATTTTCCCAAATGCCTAGCCCTCCCTGCAATGCTAAAGCCTTAAATGTAGCAAGTCTAGATTTCCCCAGGTTCTCCCAACTCACTAGGGCTCCTTTTCAATTTAAATGGGTTTATTTGTTACTATCAAAATTATATATATTCAGAGACTAAGTGTTAGTCTAGGAATACTGGGGATGCATTTTTTCCAAACATCCCCTCAAGCACTTGCTTACACACACCGTACATGCTTTCAATAGTTTGGCCAAGAACGCAGTGTTCACGAATGTGTTTCAAGGTAACAGGACATTGGGTCCTGTAAGTTTCAGATGTCTGTCTGACCCACTGAAAATTCATAGGACCCAGAGAATAAAAATTAAACACACATTGCAGATTTAACATTTCTTATAATTGGCATTGAAATTAATTATAATTTATAAACAGCAAACAAGTGTCACATTTCACATACAACAACCTCAGTCAAAGTTACAGTGGAACACTTTTATAACGAACATGGCTATAGCTATAGCGAACTGTTTTAAAAGTCCCGAATAAACATTATATTATCATATAAAAAAGCGAATAGCGAACAACGGATATAACGAACTAATTTCAGTGGTCCCTTGGAGTTCGTTATAAAGGTATTTTACTGTATTGTGAAACTACAGTCAGTCACTGGGGCTGGTGGGTTGTAGACTTCCATCGGACTGTCTCCCGGATTTGTCCTAGGGTCCGACACTATTCATGAACACTGACAACAGTCTGGTTTCAACAGGCCTTGTGTACAATAACTGGTATTATTCTTCAACCCCTGACAATTGGAGTCAGTAAGCTGGATTACAAACTCACCTGCGAGTATTGCTTTGTGAGCAAGAAATTCCCTGCCCGCAACACAAAGTGTGACATCACTTGATGATGACCTTTCAAACAATGCCCCTAAGTCGTCACTGAGTCGACATTCTGGTACTTTCACTGGTGTACAGTTGGATTGTCCTGATACATTCACTGTGTCACCCACGACACTCACCTGAACAGGAAAACAAATATCATTATTGTTATCCACAAACATCATTTTATAAACATTAAACCTAACCTTCATCTAACAATGACTTTTCTTCATTGCTGTTATTCTTAAAGATCTTGTTATGTAGAGGAGAGTGACTTTCAGACATGGGACACTTTTCCATTTGTTTTCCAACAAAACGTCATGATGATATTATATATAAGTATTCAGTGGTTTTAATACCACTCTGAGCTGTACTTCATTTAAGTAACCATGGTTTCACCATGTGGGAGGAATGATTCAGACATAGAGGTCCAGTGTTCACGAATGGCGTTTCAAAGTAACAGGACACTGGGTCCTGTAAGTTTCAGATGTCTGTCTGACCCACTGAAAATTCACAGGACCAATACAATAAAAATTAAACACAGCTTTCAGATTTAACATTTCTTATAATTGGCATTGAAATTATTAACAAATGTAAAATTTGTACACAGCAAACAAGTGTGACGTGTCACATATGACAACTTCAGTCAAAGTCATTGTGAAATATGACAGTCGGACACTGGGGCTGGCGGGTTGTAGACTTCCATCGGACTGTCAGCGAATCTGCCGGATTTGTCAGAGGGTCAGACGCTATTCGTGAACACTGGAGGTCTTAATACTCTTTTAAACCTTAAAGCCTTTCAATGTTGACAAGTCACAAATGATGGCAAATTTGGTATAAAAACCAATAATCATGCAATTCTGGCATGGCAAAAGAGAACAATGCAAAATAAATAGCAGCACCTTAAGATGACTCGGCCATCCATGTTGCCAATGATAATAAATAAGAGTGAATATGAGTGAATTTTACACATTCGGTGACTGAAAATCTCACTACCAACCTAACTGAACATGCAGAACATATTGTGAGTAATTCATTTAAATACTGAAGAACAAGAAGAAACTTACTTCACAAAATATTGTTAACTTGTCATCCGGTAAAAGACCATTGGCTTCATCCATTAGAAAATCTCGACGGATGAACTTTTTAAACCCCCAATCTTTCCCTTGGACAAAGCGGTATGCTCTTTGGCTTTCTATAAAGAAAATGGGACAAATTATCACCTGGGTAAGTGCACAATTTTCAAACTGTACCAAGCAAGACTAAGAGTCATCACCAAAAAGCACTTTCATGAATCTAGTGAATGTTTTGGTTAAGCAGAGTAACCAACATTAGCATGATGAGTTTAGGACAAGTTTTTTCCTTTTTGGCAATGAGCCAACCTCCAATTTACCCCACAATAAACAAGAACATAATTATGAGAGACGTTAATGCATCCTTGCATTAAACCTGCACTTCCTTGTTATTTTGATTATATTTTTACTCACTGACTTCTCCAGGAAAAAACCCAAGTACCCTTATAACAAATGAAAATTTTAAAAACAACTATCCAGAAAATTTAAATTAATTTCAGTTAAAAACTGTACTGATTTCCATTTAGTTGTTTTTGCTCATAATCAAGCAGGCATAACAGACGAAAGGTGAACAGTCTGTGGCATGCCTGAATACGTCTTTAACGTGTTCTCTCTGGAGATTAGTCATGCTCCATGGACCACTATAGGCTCTGCATACAATGCCAGACAGACTTTAACTGGACTCACTTATCAGACAGACTGTGTTCAACTGTGATTCAGTTATCATGGTCCAAAGCAACAAGCATGAATTTGCTGGGTTTTAAGCCACTAAGAACAATATTTCACTTGTGTGACAGCCTTTCAGTTTAATGTGAGAATAATGCCCAAAGCAATTCTATTTGTGGACATTTATGACACTGATGGAAACAAAGAGCACTGATAGAGTGCTCAGTGTTGACAGACCAATTACTGCAACAATCATTAGATGAGAATCTGGGAGTCAAACCCAGAACCATCCCATCTATGTTCCAAGTACATGTGCTGAGCCAGTGTTTCGTCCAAGAATCCATACACACAGACCATTCATGAAAAGGGAGTCAGTGAGTTTAGCCACTTGTTGGGAGCTGGAGACTAATAAGCTCAGGTAATAACAGTCCATGTGATAACTCCAAACTCTACTGAAAACACGCATACAACCAAACATTTGTAACAGACTGGAAAAATGTGAAACAAATTACCAAACTTTTTAGACAGCAAAACTATTCATATAATGACACCAAATTGGACAAGTTATTTTAATCATATAGTACTTACCCATAGCTTTTGTTTCTTCCCTTTTTGCATTCAGTATTGAAAATTTGAACTTTGCTCGAACTTCACTTTTGTTGCAAGAGACTAATAATAAGTAAAGGGAGAGGTATTCTTTACTCTCTTCATCCAGACCCTTTGGATTCACACGCAAACACCTGCAAACAGAATAAATATGTGTATTGTTGTCAGAGTGTATTTATGTCATCAACACTAGATTTTTTTGTCAGACACACAATAAAAACAACAACATAAAACTCATCACTAATTCAATCGGCTTTGATATTCAGGATCAACCCAGTGTTCGATATCATGAGCATCGCTCTAAGCAATTGACATACAAATGACATACAAATCGAAGTCAGCAAGCCTGAACAACCGATCTTTTTAGCTGCCACTTTTAACAATCATCATGTGACTACAATACCAAGTAGGAAAGGTACAGATCAATACTAGTGGTGTAACGATTCTGCAACACAGCATTGTATCGTTATAAGAAACTCAGATACAATACACTGATTTACAATACGTCTTGCAATATATACAATTAATTTCATTACAAGTTACACTGCTCAGGGATTGGGATAGAGAACTTTGACAATGGGCCATTTTCAGGATTATTAGCCATTTTCTGAATTTAGAATGGGCCACTGCCCTTGTACCAATAATAAACTTCAAACCTTTAATGGGCCACTTTTTGGTTCTAATGCTCAAAATGGCCCATGGCCCCTGCCTTTCCCAATCCCTGCATTGGGAAATATGTGAATGCTAACAGAATATTATTTATGGAGAACCCTTTTTTTAAACATAAACCACAAGTTCAAATTGATGCGTGAACTAGCTTGATTCTCTCCATGCTTTTAACATAATGGTTACCATGGTTAGACTGACTGACTGAGTTTGGTTTTACACCGCTTTTAGCAATATTCCAGCAACATCACGGCGGGGGACACCAGAAATGGGCTTCACACATTGTACCCATGTGGGGATTCGAACCCGGGTCTTCGGCGTGACGAGCCAACGCTTTAACCACTAGGCTGCCCCACCATGGTTAGAACAACAGTGACTTCCCTACATGGACGAATTGTACAGAAGTCAAACACCCTCACCATTTCAGTTTATCATTGGCCCCAGCTGAGAAGGTTGAACTTTTCAGGACCTCTCCCATTTCCTCTCTACAAAAGCTAAAGTTGTTGATGGTCCATATGTAGGAAAATTTGATCACTTTTACCTGTGAACAATACAAAAAAACATGACTATAAAACAGAAAACAGGAATTGGTAACAGGCCTCAAGTAAAGAGAATATTAACAACTCATAACTGTGTTTATTAATGACAGTTTCAAATGCGTATTATGCCAAATTACCTGTCACCTAAACAGGTTGTGACAAAAGTAGAAGTGGTGAGTTTAGTTTGACGCCACAACCATATATATTCCAGCTATATGGCGGCGGACTGTAAATAATCAAGTCCGGACCAGACAATCCAGTGATGAACAGCATAAGCATCCATCTACATAAATGGGACACAATGATATACGTCAACCAGGTTAGCATGCTTGACAACCCGATACCTTTAGTCGCCTCTTATGACAAGCATGGGTTGCAGAAGACCAATTCTAACCCATATCTTCACGGGTCTGTGACAAAGAACTCTCAACATACAACATCTTTTATTCAATGCAAAATATCAACAAATGTCTTACTTGTGTGTAGCACCAGTTTTCTGCAACAGGACATGACACTTCTGGTGGTGGAGGGGTCGGCACCCGACAAACTGCCATGCGGGAGTTGTCGGGTGACGAGGACGTCCCGCGGTCCAGCTGGTCCGCCAGTTTGATGCCTTAGTGAGCCACAACGATGATTTTGTCAGGCTGGAGTAGAAAACTGGTTTCTGGAAACAGCACTGAAAGAAAAATGTACTTATTAGCAAAATATTATGTTCACCTGATTGCTATGAGTGAGTATGGCTTAACGTTAGCATGCTTGACAACCCGATGCAACTTTAATGTAATGCCTCTTTCCATGACAAGCATGGGTTGCAGAAGACCAATTCTAACCCATATCTTCACGGGTCTGTGACAAAAGAACTCTCAACATACAACATCTTTTATTCAATGCAAAATATCAACAAATGTCTTACTTGTGTGTAGCACCAGTTTTCTGCAACAGGACATGACACTTCTGGTGAATGTGGAGTAAATGCGGCACCGACAAACTGCCATGCGGGAGAGGTTGTCGGGTGACGAGGACGTCCCGCGGTCCAGCTGGTCCGCCAGTTTGATGCCTTAGTGAGCCACAACGATGATTTTGTCAGGCTGGAGTAGAAAACTGGTTTCTGGAAACAGCACTGAAAGAAAAATGTACTTATTAGCAAAATATTATGTTCACCTGATTGCTATGAGTGAGTATGGCTTAACGCCGCTTTTAGCAATATTCCAGCAATATCACAGCGGGAGACACCAGAAATGTGCTTCACACTGATTGCTATGACTGACTGATTGAGTGAGTTTAGTTTGATGCCGCACTCAACAATATTCCAGCTGTATGGCAGCGGTCTGTAGGGATTGGGAAAGAGAACTTTGACAATGGGCCATTTTCAGGATTATTAGCCATTTTCTGAATTTAGAATGGGCCCCTGCCCTTGTATCAATCGTAAAGTTCAAAATTTTAATGGGCCATTTTTTTTCCTAATGCGCAAAGTGGCCCATGGCCCCTGCCTTTCCCAATCCCTGGGTCTGTAAATAATCGAGTTTGGACCAGTCAATCCAGTGATCAACAGCATGAGCATCGATCTGCACAATTAGGAACCGATGACATGTGTCAACCAAGTCAGCGAGCCTGACCACCCGATCCTGTAAATCGCCTCGTACGACAAGCATAGGTTACTGAAGGCTAATTCTAACCTGGACCTTCACAGGTCTGATTGCTATGACATGATGAAGATCAAACAAACTAAAAGTTGGTCATCTACATTGACAACGAAATGTAACCATAAGAACTTTCTACCATTACCAAATGCAAGCTATTTCGAAAAGAGCTGCAAAGTAAATGGTGACTAACCCTAGCTGAGACATGTCAACCTGTTCAACACATAGTCGTGACCATGTTTTACCTATAGATAACGTGAAAAAGCAGGAACATCTGTGTCAGAGTAAACGGTAAACTTCAAAACCATGAAGTGATCATGTGAGGTGAGGTGAGGTGAGGTGAGGTGAAATTGGGTTTATTTAACGTCTTGCTTGAGAATATTTCGCTCATATGACGACGTGCATGCGTGTGTATGTGTATGTGCAGCTGTTTGTACTAGCCCAGACTTAAGCTGGTTTTATAGTGCTAGCCCCCTGAGATACCATGCCGCAGTGAAGCATGAATACCCCACTCAGACACATTATACTGACTCCGAGCCGACCAGTCCTTGTTGTGCCCACTAATGCCGAACGCCAAGCAGGTGCCAACAAGTACAATATTTTAACGTCTTTTGGTATGACGCGGTCGGAGATCGAACCCGCGACCTTCCGCTCTCCGGCCGGATCTCTAACCACTACACCACGGAGGCGGTCAAGTGATCATGTACTGCAGCAGGGAACAAGAATACTTATCATTGGACAAGGGATTTATCTTCACCTGCTCAGAAGTTAAAATATTTAGCCTTTAAGTCTGTGATAAATGATGATAAAGATTCATAATGAGAGCTAACAAATTCTCATTCCACAGGATTCATGAAAATAAGAGCATTAATGCTTACAAATTTGGAAAAATATCATAATTTTGTTAAAAATATGCTTGCCAGGGATGCTTAGTTTGGAATCCTAGATAGATCCCTGTTGTGTGATATAACAAAATGGCAAGTTAGCAACCTCCATAGCATGCTCCCATTATTCTGCTTCATGTAGCATGAGTTGTTTCTGTTTGATGTTTAACACTGTACAAAGTTTGCTCATACAGTATTTGAATCTATGGATCCCTTACAAAATGAATCTTCAACATCAGTCTTATGACAAAGACCCCTTGACGTAATATTTCTTACACATACAGAAACTCTCATATTTTAGATGTGCTTTATCTTATTTATCTTGGGTCTTCTTATCACAGAAATATATAATACTTATTCTTGAATGAGGACCCTTGCTTTTGTTGACGAGTTATTAACCAAAGCATTTAACCAACCAGAGAACATAATAAGCAATATGACTCATAACGATAATATGCTAAATGTACTGCAATATGTATTCTGAAATCTAGTAAACTGGTAATATCACACACCACATGTAATCATGATACACTTCACATATGTCAAACTGCCTCAACAGTTCTGGGCTTGTAACTATTAACCACAACAATGCTAAATAAGAGTATCAGGAAGAGATTTCCTAAAACATCCACAATTAACGGTGCAACACAACAAATAGTATGTATTACTGAATGGGAAGTAAAACAATAGGGTTTTCAAAAGGAAAACTGCTGACAACATGAAACAGGGGGGTTTCCCTTATGACTTGCATTGTCCCTGATTGGTCAAAACAGGATGATACAGTCCCTGATTGGGCAAAACAGGATGATGTGAGGCAGGAAGAAGTTATTTAAAGATTAACTACTAACTTTATCAAGACTTTGGGGAAGTGGTTCAAAAATAGTGTTGACTATGAAAATGACCAGATGAGATGTAAATATCATAGCATCATTGGTGTCACCTAGTGCCTGAAGTAAGCCTAATTCCTAGCAATCCAAAGGGAACAGAGACTTGCATATGTAACAAGCCTGCCCTCAAAGTTGCAAGTCCACATTTGATAATAAAAGGCTTAAGTACATAACAAAAGTCTCGGATGGGAATCAACCCAACAAAAGTACTAGAATCTGTATTTTTATTAAGAAAGTGTAATCCCAAATATAACATATGTTACATCTGGCCACTTTCTAAAATGTCATTGTGTAATCATCACAAAAGTAATGTTGAAAATCACAGTCTTAATCTGCTGCATACCAAAATTAGGTTCTGAAATGTCTATTTGTCAGTGGTATATGTAGGAATAAATTTCACCTATCCAAACAGAAGAAATACCAGCAAATGGATAGTGGGCAGGCAGCTATTCAAGAAACTGATATCATTAGCATTTCACACCCTTTCAATCAATTGTAACAAGCAAACAATTAACCTTAAGTTTTGGGATATGTGCCAAATATAATATTTATTATATATATCACAATGAAAACATGTAGATTACAAACTATCCTATATGTCACTACATCAAAAAGTCATTATAAGCAAGACAAGATTAGGCTATCAGATTGGTGAATTTTTCATGACAATTCTAGTGAGTGAGAAAAGCAAGATTTATGGATGTCAACTTCTTTATTGTGAATAACACGAAATTAGGTTATGAAATGTCTATTTGTCAGTGGTATATGTAGGAATAAATTTCACCTATCCAAACAGAAGAAATACCAGCAAATGGATCATATGGATAGTGGGCAGGCAGCTATTTCAAGGAACTGATATCATCAGAAAAGGAACCCTGAGACATCAGGTGATGAAGGAGCAAGCATACACTCCGAAACGTCGTGTTATTCACAATAAAGAAGTTGACATCCATAAATCTTGCTTTTCTTATGCATTCCACTTCTAAATGCCCTTCAAAGATTTGTGAGTGAGTAAAAATATGTCAAATGATTATGCTTATTGTTGCCTGGCACAAATGGGACAAAACAACACAGCTAGCATTAGCCGTATACATAGGCATGATAGGTACAAGGAGCCACACACACTGACTGACTGACTGAGTTTAGTTTTACGCCGCTTTTAGCAATATTCCAGCAATATCACGGCGGGGGACACCATAAATGGGCTTCACACATTGTGCCTATGTTGGGAATCGAACCCGGGTCTTCGGCGTGACGAGCCAACGCTTTAACCACCATGCTACCCCACCGCCCGAGCCACACACACATTTGTGCAAGCATGCTGCTATGGAAGTACAGTGATGTTAAATCCCATTCTTAATAAAATTAGATCAGGCTCTGAAGCCCTTATCGGCCAGAATCACCAAAGGTGAGGCATAGAAACTCCTAACTGCCTCATTCGACATGGACAGTTATTCTGATGGCTAGTAGCAGATCTAGCTTTTTGAGAGCAAGTGAGGATGGTTTTACGCCACTTTTAGCAATATTCCAGCAAAAAAATGGGTGGTGACTAGGGGTGTCATGATACACCAATCTCACGATACGATACGTATCACGATTTTTAAGGTCACGATACGATCACATCGCGATACATAATTTTCGCGCCTTTTCATAGCATTACCTTACCGGCAACGTACGTGCTCGCTGATTGGTCCATCAAAATAGTCTAGCCAATCACAAAAGCTGTTAGTTTCCAACCTACTTTTTAAGTAAAGCTAGCTACATCTATTTATCGGAGCGGTCTCGTATAATTTTACCATCAAGACTTCGAAGGAGATGGATATAGCATAAAAATTTGAATCGATATAGTTATAAAATAGGAATCGATACACGCAAGCATGTATCGCGTATCGTATCGTCAGTAAAAATGTATCGATGCATCGATACATTCGCGTATCGCGACCCCCCTAGTGGTGACACCAGAAATGGGCTTCACATATTGTACCCATGGGGAAATCAAGCATTTTAAGAAGAGCAGCAGTAATATTTATGCATCATGACAGTGTGGTAGTTACTTAAAGGCATCTGTACGGTTGTCATGCCATTACTATGCAGACTGGTACATATTTCATGATAAATTCTAACACTGACCGTTCTTTTGCTTATCTCTATGACAACCAGTGATAGAAATCTACACATACTCAAATCGTGTGCAAATAAACATGATAAAGGTATTTTGAACTTTGTGCTCAATGGTATGAGCTTAAGTCATCACTAATCAGGCTAGTATAT